ACCGGCCATCGATGAAGCCATCAAAGAAATGGACGACGCTTGCATTGGGTAGAACAAAGCGCCTGATGTGTTAATTGGTTTGCGTAAAATTGGCGGGAAATTTCCTTGCTCTATGATTCAACGAACAAAGACCAGTAAAATGGATAAAAGGGGGCAGAGCTGGCCCTCCAGATCCATCTTGCTTGAACGCCACCGTCATCATCAGCATCGCCATCTTCTGTATCAACGTTATCAGCATAACATCGTCTATCATCATGGCCCAGAAGTTTTTCGGCCCCAACTTTGACGCTGAGGAGGAGTGGGCGAGACTGGAGGCCCCCGTGGCTGACGAGGGCCCTATGTGGGGACAGGTTGTTCCTCCGCCCGCACCGCACGCATCACCCATGTATCCTCCCAGTTGGGAAATGGGTAAGTTACGTTCGTTATCGATGCAACACTCTCGTAATACCGTCTGTCATAAACCTCGCGGCTACCTACGTTCCTTCCGTACGTTTATGACTTTATTCATTTCTTGTCACACGTAGATATTGATTCGTTCGATGTACATGTGCGTGTATTTAGTCGTCTTTGTCTTTGTAATGCCAGCGATGTTTCGGAGAAATACAAACAGATTTTTATTATTTGGCTTTATTCATTTCTTCTCACACGCAGATATGGAACATGTCGAATTGTTCGGAATGGAGGAGGTGGAAGTCATCGATCTGACCTCGCCGATGACAGTAAGTTTCGTTTGTTGTACATGTGCGTGTATTTATTCGTCTTTGTTACTGTCTGCGTAATGCCAGCGAAGTTTCGGAGAAATAAAAACAGATTTGTATTATTTTCTTTTCTACGCAGACGACGACGTGTTTCTGCCGCCGTCTCCACCCGTCGTCCTGGCTCCCACTCCAAGCCCGGCAGTCAGCCCATTACTGGACAGCCCGGCTCCGGTGATGCAGCGGTCTCCACCCGTCGCCCCGGCAAGCCCAGCCATGGACCCCGCGCAGGAGCCACCAGTCGCCCCTCTACATAAACCGGCCCCCGTTCCAGTCGCCCCACCCAACGAGGAACTCTTCACGGAGGCTACGATCTGTCTGTATACGCATGTAGCAATGTTCATTAATTTAATGTTTCCTAGTTTTATTGCGGGCAGATGTGGGGGGTGTGCCATCGACCACCCCTCACAAACCCAACACCTATGTATANTTTATAAGGGACATGTTGGAGTAGCTGTGTGACGATAGACTTGAAGAGTGTATTGACACATGGATACACGAAGTACAACACAATCAAGAGTTATCATCGCACTATACACATTCGACGGCTATACTCGATCTTTCGACGTTTTTGTGTTTTGAACTGCGGCAGGCAGAAAAATTAGAAGTACTGAAAGCATTCATTTTACATGGCTAAGGGTTTCTTCAGGGCTGTCGCCACAGGGTTCCTCCTTTTTGTACTTACGTTTTTTCACACGATGTATAGTTAATGGTTTGAATGGTGAAACGTGTAATGTAATTTTTGTTTGAAATAAAATGGTTGTTATTGGGAATAGTTTGCGTCGCTTGTTTGTATTTTGGTTTGGGTCAGATAAGAAAAATAATTAATAAAGACGAATAAGAGAAATAGTCAAAGAAATAGTTAAATAAATAAAAAGAGAAAATAAGGAAAAGTAAAGAGATTTAGGCAAAGAAATAGATACATAAAAAATTAGTCAAATAAGGATAAATAAAGAAAATTAGGTAAAGAAATAGATACATCAAGAAAAATAGTCAAATTAGGATAAATAAATAAAATTAGGTAAAGAAATAGATACATAAAGAAAATTGGTCAAATAAGGGAAATGGAGAAATAAATAATAATGATCAAGAAAGGAATTAAAACAGAGTCATTAAAAAGGGGTTAAACTATATCCAGCGGTCATTTCAAAATTTGACTTCGACGAGGCAGGATCATGAAAAAGTACCTAAAGTCCCTCTATTACGACATAGGTTGCGAAAGCGGTCTGAGCAGCGTAAACAGGTTGTATCGCGCCGCCAAGCAAGATGGAAAGTACAAGATTACACGAAAGCGGGTTCGAGACTTTCTTAGAGGACAGGACGTCTACACGTTCCACAAACCCGCCAGAAAAAGATATCCCAGAAATAGAATGATGGCAGTGGGTCGGGATGAAATCCATCAGTCAGATCTGGTAGATGTATCTAATTTATCCAAATACAATAGAGGCTATAGATACTCGCTGACTTGGATCGACGTGTTTTCCAAATACGCGTAGGTTATTCCGTTAAAAAATAAATCGAGCAAGGCGCTGGTGAACACTTTCAAGACCAATGTCAGATCTAGCGGCAGACCTCCCGTGATGATTCACACGGATAAAGGCAGTGAATTTACCAACCGTCCGTTCCAAGACATGCTTAAAACGAAAGGGATACATTTCTATACGACCAACAGCGAGGTCAAAGCCTCCGTCGTGGAGAGATTCAACCGCACGCTCAAGTCTCGCATGTGGCGGTACTTTACGTGGAAAAACACGTTGAAATACATCGACGTCTTGGGGTCACTGGTGAAGACCTACAATCATTCGCACCACCGTACCATTGGAATGAAGCCCGCGGAAGTCACCGGTGCGAATGAAAGCGTTGTTTGGAGACGTCTGTATGCGCCGCCCAAGCCACCCGCTAAATTTCGGTTTAAAATGGGAGATAAGATTCGAGTCAGTAAACGGCGGCTGACCTTTGAAAAGTCCTACCTCCCATCCTGGACCGAGGAGATATTTACGATAGCCAAACGCAGTGGGCGGCAAACAAGACCCGTGTACGCATTAAAAGATTATAACAGTGAAGGTATTCGCGGTTCGTTTTACGAGGAAGAATTGCAAAAGGTGCGAAAAACCGATGATCTGAACCGAGTGGCGAAAGTGATCGGAAGCGCAGGAGAAAGGGAAAGACCGAGTATTTCGTTAAATGGTTGGGGTATCCTTCGTCGTTCAACAGTTGGGTGACGGACCTGCAGTCGTAAGGATCGCAACCATGGCCTCGTCTTCCACGCAATTTTACGTCACGCTGCCCAGTAATTCATCCATGTCATTGTACTCGAACAATGCCCTGTCCAGTTACACTACGCACCTGGTCAAGCCAATAAATCTGACCGGACACTAGGAGGTTGCCCTGACCGAGATCCATTATCCTTTCACGTGGTACAATATAACGGAAGACAACAATTCGTTCACGTACAGCGAACGCGGCCGAGTGCAAACGCACGCGAGAATATTGCACGGCTTTTACACTTCCGTGCAGGAAATCATGCCATCAACGGCGAAATGACGGATGCGGCTAAACTTAATAACGTCATCACCTTGGACAGGTACACGGGAGAGTAAAGATAGAAGTACATTTATTTTGACGATCATTTGTATCGCATCTTGGGATTAAAATACAAGAAAGTTAGCGAAAACCTGGAAGGGCATTTACCCGTGGATGTGAATGGAGGATTCTACGGTATATACGTGTACTCCGACATTGCCGAAAACCTACTGGTGGGAGACGTTAGCGCGCCCTTACTGAGAATCGTCCCCGTGCAAAAGTCTGGTGTGACTCAGGGCGATGTCATCGCTCACACCTTCAGCGCGCCCCATTACGTGCCCGTCAAACGAAAACACTTTGAGACGATTAAGGTGGATATAAGGACCGACACGGGAGAGAAAGTGCCATTTCAACACGGGAAACTCACCATTACGCTTCATTTTCGCAAAAGTCGTCCCTGTTTGTTTTGAGCCGTCATGGTGGACTACGTGAAATATTACAAAAATCAGGCGGGGATTATTATTTCAGAGGTGCCCCCAATCAGAAGGGATACGGATTGGGCAATATTTTAGGTGGACTGTTCAGTCTGCTTACCGATGATCAAACAAGGCGCCAAAATGATAGGCAAGGAGGCCTTGAAGACCGGGGTAGTACTCGCCACCGATACCCTCGACGGACAGAATGTCAAGACGGCCGCGAAGAAACGGGTGAAACAGGCTGGAAAGAAGATGACGTCACAAGTCATTCAGAAAGGTTTAAAAAGGAAAGCACCCGGCGCATCGGGCAGAAAGGCTCGGAGCAAGCGACCGAAGAGGACCACGACATTTTCGATTAACAACAGTGTACACCACTATGGCATTCCTCAGTAAACATTCGTGCGATGCACAAAGTCCGAACTGGATCTGTTTTCCGTCCTGCCCACTCAGATCTCCATTTTGAAAGGGCAATGGGTACAGTACAACCCACTGACCAATATCGTGGACTCGGACTCTATAGATTACATTACCGGTTTCACCGAGCACTACCTGGATTTGGCGCACACCATGACCAATGTCAAATTTAAAGTGGTCAATGAAAATGGCGCCGACCTGGGCGAGGGTGTCCCCGTCGCCCCCGTTAATCTACTGCTTCACTCCCTGTTCTCCGAAGTGGATGTCACGCTCAACGACAAACTCGTTTCGTCTTCCTCCAACATGTACCCGTACCGAGCCCTGCTGGAAACCCTGCTCACTTACGGACCACCGGCCAAGGCATTGCAGCTGACAGCCGCCCTGTTTTACAAAGATACGGCGGGAAAAATGGACTCGGGCGATCCAACCGCGGAAGAAAATTTCAACAAGGGATTAAAGCGGAGATACAAACGAAAGAGAGCCGTATTGTCGATATGTTGGGACCGATTCACGGAGACATATTTTTTCAAGATAGGTTTTTACTGAACGGCGTCAACCTGAAGCTCAAGTTTCATCGCAGCAAAAACAGTTTATGTTTAATGGCGGCTTTACCGGACACTCACTACAAAGTAAAGATTACGGAAGCTTCTCTGTACGTGAGAAAGGTGGTCGTCAGTCCCACCGTGGATCTAGCGCACGCCCAAACCCTACAGAGTGCTACGGCCAAATACCCGCTGCGCAGAGTGGAGGTAAAAACGTTTGCTACTCCGCAAGGAAATCAATCTTTTACCCGCAAAAATCTGTTTCTGGGGCAGATCCCCTGGCGCGTGGTGATTGGCATGGTGGATAACGCGGCCTTCAACGGCGACTATCATAAAAACCCCTACAACTTTAAACATTACGGTCTAAATTACCTGGGGCTGTACGTGGATAACGAACAGACGTCGTGGCGACCTCTTCAGCCCAAGTTTTCCGGCAAAGACGAAGCGTACATGATGTCCTATCAGACTTTGTATTCCGGTTTAAATACCCTGTTTCGAGACAAGGGCAATCATTTGAACAGGGAAGACTACGAGTCGGGCCAAAATGTCTTTCATGTCCTGCTTCAGGCTCTGTAGTTTACTCTGCGTGGGGTTACGTAAGAGTAGCACATTCTGTATGGCTCTGGTCACGCTGTCCGTGGGGGCGCTGATCATGATTTTTTGGGCGTGTTTCATCACTTGGAAAACAGTAACCCGCCGAGCGTACCGAGGATGGGCGCCAGTAAGGGTCGTGAGAAGACTTCTTGTCAGCAAGAGCTCGCAGATGTGTCTTGTGTCGCGACAGTTTTTTCTTCTGACTCGGCGTGAGTGGCACGCGCCCTTTTAAAACGTTCAGCGCACATTCGCCCAAACAGGTGACGAGTTCCTTGTCGGCATGCTTCAGAATGTCCTTTCGTTTCTTGGGCGAAGCTCCGCTCAGAATGCGCAGCACGTAAGTGTTGTCCTTCAGCCGTCGCGTCATGTTGACGAGTGAGACCGTTGACGTAAACTGGCCTATTTAGGCACGTAGGCGAATGCCGTTTCTTCCGGGAAGATGTTGGCCCGCAGTCTGTATTCTTCCAGGCAGTGGGGTTTCAGGTCGATGAACAGGTAGGAATAGGGCTAGCTGGTGGCATCGGCGTAGGCTTTGACCATAAACTTTGTCTGCCCCGGGTACATCTGCTTGGCCAAATGAACAATCTGAGATCGGTCTCTGGGATTTTTGAACGGAACGATGTAGTGACAGTTCAGACTGATGGCCCTGCTCTCTTTCGACTGGTGTAACAAGTTCTGCACGATGTAACAGACAGGTTGCAGTGGTGGGATCCCTGGGTAAACAGCTAAGCAATGTGAGGATCTTTACCGCATTCCTGCATCAAATCGTCCAACACCACTAGATTTCGGTGCGTCGGGTCGATGTGCTCTGACCAATCCTCCGACAACCCCTCCACAAACTGAACAGCAGGTAGATCGCGAGACAGTTC